AAACAGTTTGTCACAGCCCCTCGTTTGTTGTCTTCTTCTCTCTCTCTGCCTACGGTTTACCGGGCAGTTCTGTTTGTGACGATATATATATATCTATATGATATATATATATATCCCTCTCTGCCTACGGTTTACCGGGCAGTTCTATTTGACGATATATATATATATATATATATTAACCACAGCCGGGGTTAAGGTGGATTATCACTTACAGTGTAATCAGCTAGGGGATTCTGCAGACTGTTGAGGGTTCAGCCTCCTGATGAGTCGGTGAAACTCCTATGAAACAGTTTGTCACAGCCCCTCGTTTGGTGTCCTCTTCTCCCTCTCTGCCTATGGTTTACCGGGCAGCTCTGTTTGACTATATATATTTATTTTTTTTACGGTTTTTGATTTTTAACTCACGATTGGCTACGAATTTGAACATGACACCAAGGCAAAAGTTAAGTGTATTGTTATTTTACGTAACATTTTTTTTTTTTCGGATTTTTCTAAGAACTTTTTTTTTTTTTTTTTAATATTTTTTATGTTCCCGTTCGGAGGGTTTGGGGCGCTTGTTCGCGTTCGGCCGAACATGTTCTTGTTCGCCTCCGAACGTGAACACAGTGCTACGTAGGTCTTTATCTCTAATTCCAGTGTGAACTTCGTGTGATCTCATACATGCATGTGGTGTTAATATGTGCGCTCACTGGTGTTGAACTGAGAGGTTCTTAGCAAAAGCATCCTTGTCGAGCAAAAATATTCATTCTCATTTTGCACATTTTTTTTGCACATTTTGGGTCATAAATCTAATGGAGGCCAAATGCCTCGCATATTTCCATGCTAAGTCAATCGCTGGCCCAATGTCTTGGACTTTGTCTTGCTAAGTCAATCGCTGGCGTTGAGTCGTCGTCACCTGTTTTCTTTTCTTGCGGAGTACCTTTTCTACACTCCCGATGTTCAGTCGTAATAATGCTTTTTTTTTTCTAGGAGTTGAGTTTGGAATTTCTTAAAATTTTATTCTAGTAGTTTGGAATTTTTATTCTACTAGTCTGGGAATTTTATTGTTATTATTATTATTATTATAATATTATCATCATTATATTATTACTATTATAGTATTATTATTATTATGCAATCAGACTCGCTGTCTTTCACACTTTACATGCATACAAACAGGTGTGCAGCAAACTGGCGACAAGCGCCCACTCAAAACTCAGAGATATGGTAGCCGAGAACACAGTTCAGATGCAATCATTAATTTATTATTATTATTATTATTATTATTATTATTATTATTATTATTATTATTATTATTATTATTATTTATTCTTCATAGTTTAGAAACTTTTTAATTGCTCATTTTTAAGTTCAGTCGGGTTCTAACTTCTAATCAACTGCCTTTTTTTTTCACTTTGGACTTTCCGAATTTTCGCAACAGTATTTTGACGCATGATCTTGCGGGAGTTACTCCAGTTGAAGTTCCGGGAGTGGAAAATGTAAGTTCATTTCTCTATCTCTCATAATCTCTGATCTTTCTCCTTTTTTCTTTCTTTTTCTTTTTAATTATCACAAATGTACTTTTAAGTTTTAATTATTTTATTAATAGAAGCTGCAAGCAGAACTCAGAACTCGCATCTGTCAACTAATCCACCTTTGGCCGCTTCAAAACAAACAAACAAAAAAACAAACAAAAAAGCAAACAAACAAACAAACAAAAAAATTACAAACAAACAAACAAACAAACAAACAAACAAAAGAAGCTAATCCGATTATCCTACCCTACCTTTTTTTTTTGGGGCCGAACATAACTGTCGTGCGGTTGTGTGGCTCGCTCCTCTCCATTCTGCGGAGCATCAGTACGGTTCCTATTCCACTTCCAACTTCCAAGTCAGAAAAGAAATTACAGTGGATACTCGCACGCGCTCCTCCCCATTACTGTTGAGTAAGAGGCCCGAGTGGACGGCATTGATTACTTCTCGAGGGAAGGATGTACCCAACCCTCACCCCTGTCTAACTTAGCCTGTTTGACTCGCTTTTGAGGTTGGATACTAAGTTAGCCTGTTTGACTCGTTTTTGAGGTTGGATACTGGACTGAGTTCCATTTGCCCTATTCGTTGACAGTACCTTACCTAACGGAGCCCTGCCCTGACTACAGTAGCTTTCTCCTCTCTCAGCCAGTGGGCTGTCGGCTTTGCTTTAGGTGTTGGGGCTGCTAGTAAATTTTCGTTCTGTACTACAGACTAAAAGCCTACCTCCTATTTGTCTCTTTTTCCAGGATGGTCGAACTGACTTCTGAATCATGTGACGTGGGGTTCAGGGAGACAATTTTCGACGTCGCTGTGCGAGGGAAGACGTTGTGCGATCTTGTAGCGGATCGGCCTTGCCGAACGCATCCGGGCAATTATCCCACCAGCATCTCACGTTCACGAGTAGTATTCCATTCAGCTGCGTATCAGAGACACGGTCGGGATTCAACCAAGGGCTGGCTATTCCCAGTGATCCCCTTTCACGACGAGGTAGCTGCTCTTGTGTCTGACTGTGAGGGGGGAATGGGTAGGACCTTTAAAGGATGATGTCGGTGATGTGAGGTCGATGAGTGAGGGGGGGGGAGGGGGAGGGATAGAACTAGTCCAGTGTAACTTTACCGTTGAAGTTGGAACTAGGAAAGCCTGGGTGGTGAACCTACTTGGGGGCCGTTCCGGATACCTAGACCCCGCTGGGACGGGGCACTTTGCGGGTAGTCCGATCGATAAGTGGGGTACAGAGCAATTCCTCCCCCCCCCAAAAAAAAAAAGATGCAATCTGTAGAGACTTTGACAGGTTGCAGACAATGCAGAGGCAGGAGGTAACTGGTGTTCATGCATTTGGATGCTTTGTGGACCAGGTGTATTTGGACACGTGCAACATTTTGAATGTGTAGTGGGACGATTTTTATGAGCTCCGGATGCATATAGACTATTTTAGCGGAGCGAGGTCCTATATTTTCCAAGCATTGTGTTGACATCAACATGTCAGCGAGCACAGAACCATGTGACACTGCTGTTAACATCGTAATGTCTGTGATTTTTTTTTTTTTTTTTTTTTTTTTTCCTACAGGTAAACCTTGCAAAACTCGTGAAGGGTCATTCGTCCTACCTGAAGGATCTGCCGAAGATACTCGACGTCATCGACATCGACAGCCCTCTGCTTGTGTCTCTGTCTTCTGATTCGAAGTGACAAGTTCTGCGATGGATTCAGTGCACGGCTCATTTTATTTTGTATAAAATCTACCATAAATTTAGTATAAAAAGTTATTAAAAACAGTAAAACTATTGAAAACTTGAAAAGTTATAAAACCTTCGACACGCTTTGTAAATTGGTGATCAGTTGGTCGGCGGTGAGGGACAAATTAGTAAATTACTGCTGCTGCTGCTCATAACACGTCTTCCTGTGTATATGGGTCATCACTCCTCTTCACTTCTTTGCCACTGCTGTTCAGTGTTGTTCTAGCTGCGCATCAGACGACATTGCCATGGATTTCTTGGCGGACAAATGTTTGACAGTGAGAGAGAGAGAGAGAGAGAGAGAGAGAGAGAGAGAGAGAGAGAGAGAGAGAGAGAGAGAGAGAGAGAGAGAGAGAGAGAGAGAGAGAG